TAATAGGAATGTTCATAAAATTTGTATCAGCAACAGTAAAACTGGAAAGTATGACTGTTACTGGTAATAGAAATATTTACAATATTTGGATTACTCGTAAAAGTAACAGTAATGTGCCACCCCTAATCAGAATGAGCTTTCGTTTGCAGAGAGTTAACAAGAGATGAAATTGCAGATCAGCTCCGAACAGTTTTTTCTGCTGGTAATAGACGGTTTTACGATGAATATACCGAAGATCAAATACAAATCAGTGTAACACAGATTATCAAAATTATGCAAGCCGAACGTAGAAAATTTTTACACGTGTTCCGATTAGGTCGAGATAAAAATGTTGCTGATGTAATATTTAAAGCAATATTTTCAGGTATCAAAGATTCTAAAATTAGAAGTTTTTCGATGTCTAACAATTTCTCTTAAAATATATAGCTTACACAATTGGCAGTAATGAGACGTTAATGGCCGGTCAAAAAGGAAAAAAAAATTTAAAATCGAACGAGAGAGGTAATGGAAGATACTTACAGACACCTACAGACATCACACAGACATTCACAGATAGCCACTGACAGCTACACAGGCAGCATAGAGACATCCACAGACAATCAAAATAACTACACACACATCCACTTTTGTGATGCTCTCATGTTGGTAGACGTGGATGTGTGGTTAGTTATTTCTGGTTGTCTGTGGGTGTCTCTATGCTGCCTGTATAGCTGTCAGTGTCTCTATGCTGCATGTATAGCTGTCAGTGGCTATCTGTGAATGTCTGTGTGCTGTCTGTAGGTGTCTTCATGTTTTACTGTTATCTCGAAAGAGAGTCAGCAGAAACTGCTAAAATTGGCTATTATATGGGATTGTCTGGACGGTGCAAAAGCTTTACTCCAAGAGGAACGAAAACGAAAAGCTTTACAAAATGCAACAGTTCGATCTCAATGGGAACATCCAAATCTCGAAGTACCGGTAAGCATACTATCTTAATGCTCTGAAAGTGAAGAAACATAGCTTTTTAGCGACTAAAATTTCGATAAACAAACATTAAGAAAAAGTCCGACCGGAAATCGAACCAAGGATCGGTTAACAAGACTAATGCTCTACAACTGAGCTATTGAAGCACAGTCTTGACATGTTTCTTCAAAGTGAATGATCTTAGCTATCGAAGTGTATACTGTAGTTGTACTTCCACCACATATCTTCACCGAGGAATTTTTGTGCATTTGTTCGTCGCCAGCTGATATCGGATGCGATCTACGGATCCTCCAGGATTCAGATATTGGGAAGCGAAAGAATTGAGCGGATTCTGATCTCAGGATCCAGTCGGCCGTTCGAACTCCGAAAATTACCGGAATTACAAGTGTCCTATAGGACCCGATAGGGCGAATTCGACCTGGGTGGAAGAGTGTGAGTGTACTCTCTAAAAAAAAAAGCGTATTTTGAAAAACCGAAAGGGTTTAGAAACAACAGTAGTAAACCCAAAATGGTTTAGCATCTACTTTACAAAACCCAAAAGGGTTTAATAACCAAACATTTTGTAGAAAAGTTTTTCTAAACCGAAAAAAGCGTATTTGAAAACAAAAAGGGTTTTTCTGTTTGACAAAAAAACTAAAAAGCGTTCTATAGAAAAAGTCGAAGGGTTTTCTAGCTTTGATAAAAACCAAAGGGTTTTTTTCTAACTCAGTTTAGTTTAGGAAAATACTGTTTTTGGTTTTTCAAATAACGAAGGGTTTTCCAGTTTGGGCAAAAATCAAAAGGTTTTTTTGAAAGAGTTAATCAAACACCTTATATTAACCAACGAGTTAAATGTTATGGATCATGTCCTAATTTTTTCGCTCGAACTCCAGTGCTCCTTTATTTATTCAGACTAGAAAAGTTGTCATTTTTATCTTTTTCAATAAACAGTTAAATCGTATAAGTTGTCTTGATATTCGGAGCCATTCGGAACCTGTACGAACGCGCAAAATTAGTAAACTTTCTCCTGAAGGGATTAGGAAAATGAAACTATTCAGAACAAATATGGGTTTCGTAGAGCTCCTAAACCCTCTTCTAAACGCTTTATAAAGGTTTAGGAAGATGAAACTATTCAGAACAAATAAGGGTTTCAGAGAGCTCCTAAACCCTCTCCGAAACGCATTTTTATGTAAACTCCTAAACCCTTATTCGTTCTGAATAGTTTCATTTTCCTAAACCCTTAAAAGTTTTTTAAACTACGCTTTTTTTTAGAGTGTAGATATGCTCAAAAACAGAAAGAGTGAGAGTGTAGAATATCGCTGTGATTGTGTAAATTTTAATCGTTCGATATGATCTCCACTAAAAATCAGTTAATAATGAGATAATATGGGTGACTAGCTTAATTAATAGCCTCAATAGAAGAAAAGATTTTTCTTATCATTATGGTATGAAAATGTGACAATGATCAACTTCGAACGTAACAAGATCAAAAGTTAGAGAGTAGATTGATGGATTCCGGTTTTCGCGAAAAGTAGTCAGTATAAAACTATATATACTTCAAAGAATTTTAAAAGCGGGCGGAGCAGTATGAGAATGAGTTTTTTTACAAATTTTTTCAAAAATCAAATCGGTAAAGAACTCAAACTTTGTCAGACTATTCTTCTAGCTGCAATACACAGTTGATATATTATTTCAAAGCTCATTTTCAAAAAATCAGCTTCACCATTCCAAAAAGGAGATTTCTCATGAGATTATAGCGGCTTTTGGGTTCAGTTTTGAAAGTCCATTGAGACTCAAAAATGTGTAAATGTGCTACAACTCAATGGATTCATCCACATATTAGCCTATACACGATAGACGTTGATCTCTTTTTTTATTGTTAGGATCAAAATGCAGAGTTGTTTGATCTTGCTTTGGAACAAAAGAAACCAACATTTATCGATTATTTTCTTCGGATTGGCTTTGATCTCGTAAAGTCCAGTATGCAAAGTGGAATTCTAAAATGGTATACTCATTCATATGCAAGTTATGACGAGGTAATTGTTGGGCATTTGAACGTATACAAGACTTACCAAAGGACTTCCAACTTTTTTAGACTGATTATATAAGCCTGTCGATTCTGTTTGACAAAGACGTTCCTCCAACTTCATTTAAAGAATTGAATTTACTTTATTTCAAGTGGATAGGATCATTTATGGATGAAATCTACGTCATTGATAAAGAAAACCCGCAACCACAACAAACTGAATTGCAGGAGATATCAGATGGAAAATCGACTGACTACACAATCAAATTACCGGAACATTATTCAAATGAAGAAATGTTGAGAGATCTGTTTCTTTGGGCCCTGTTTACGACCGAAATTGATTTGGCCAAAGTGTTTTTGTTACATCTAAAGTCGCGTATCTGTGCAGCACTCATCGCAACACGATTGTATAAACATTTTTCTGAGAAAGCACCAAATGCATTTTCGAGAGAGAAGTTGTTGGAACAAGCGATGGAATTCGAACATTATGCAACTAATTTTGTTGAAGTCTGCTATGCACATAATGAGAAGTTGACATGTGAACTACTGATAAGAGAAGTACCGTTGTTTGGAAACATTACATGTATGCAGGTACGAAGACACCGTGCTTTTTTTCAAAAATCAGGTGTGCTGTCTGATAGGTTGCTGTTGCTGGTGAATGTTCAAAATTCTTTGCGACTCCATGTGTTGATGAAGTTTTAAATCAAATGTGGTATGACAAGTTGGCACTGTCGAATTTCGTGTCAAAGCCTTTGATCTTAGTTAATCTAGTCACAATGGGTTTATTTGCTTATTGGTGGTTACCGTATCGAAAAGTTGAAACACAGCAGCGTCATCTGAGTGTCAAAAATGTATTTGAGTTTGTTTAAGTAGTTCTCGCTTTTAAGATACTTTCGATTCATTTCAGGAAATAAACAATGAAGGGAAACAGATTTCGCATGACATCACCGATAGAGAAATGTAAGGTTACCACTTTGAGCTTTACTTTGTTTGGTTACAAAAACAAGGATTTTTTGCTTAAGTTTTTGTTCTCATGGTATAAATTATTACACAGACAACCGATCTTCCAATTATAAATGCCGCTTTTGGTATTTTCACACATGTCCAATGATCAAAATGTGTTATGATTTCGTAAGAACAGGCATAAACGATTAAGCTTCAGCTCACGATACGTTACTATCTTAGGTATCATACATCTTTTTGGTACTGGTATTCAGTTATATGATGCTATACCATTTTGATTCACCGAAGGAAACAAAAAATTTACACTGGACGGAAATATACGTGATAATCGCAGTTACATCTTTGTTGCTTGAAGAACTTAGAGTGGTAGACTAGAATAATATTTCTTTTCGTTTGGAATTAGTCTGATTTCCTGTACATTCTAGTTGGTATATGCCTATCGAAACAGAATGCAAGAGAGATGGTATCAATCAGGTTCATGGGTGCTGACTACATTCATCAAAATATTTTATATTTCAATTTATCTTCTATTTTATTTGGGTGTTATCTTTCGATACGTGTTCGGAAATGATATAAATTTTTTAACATTTGCAAGGTAAATAACAATCACTTTCGGTATTATTTTAACAATACCTGAAAATATTACTTCAAACGTAAACCTCTAGCGGTTCTTCTTCTTAAGTTTTGTTTCTTAAATATTATTAATTAAAAATCGTGAGAAGTAAGAGGCAAAATCAAATAGAGCTGTCGAACCTAGTATAGACAGTATTTCTGTTTAGAGCAATAATTCTGATGCAATATATCTTTTTATAGAGCAACAGTCATTCATTATAACGGGTGTAACGTAAAGAATGTCCACGTTTTTATTTTCAATTTTTCTCCTCTCCCTTTCGACCTATAGAACTCATTTTTCTACCAAAAGAATCGAAGAATATTTCTCTACAAAAAAATGTGTTATAGGCTTTTGAAGAATTTCAGATAACTTTTTTACAAAATGAAAAGTAAAGATCTCCGAAATGTCGTAAAGATTAAACGTGAGAATGGTGACGGTGCAACAAAGATCTTCCGAGATTTGAACGGTGCAGTATCATTTCGAACAATTCGAAGATGGCTACAAATGATCGAAAAAACCGGCGCTATCGAACTGGCTAAATCTTCCGGTCGACCACGTACTGCGCGGACAAAGGCAAATATCCAGAAGGTCAAGCAGCGATTAAATCGAAAAAAAGGAGTGTCAACCAGAAAGTTGGGCAAAGAATTGGATATGTCGCACATGAGTGCCCATCGTATATTGCACAATGACCTGGGATGTTTTCTGTACAAAAAGATTCGGGAACCCGCCATCACCGACATTCAGAAAGGAAAACGGGTCAAATTTGCAAACTGGGTGTTAAATAATTTCAAAAAAGACGAAACAAAAAACTGGCTATTTTCCGACGAAAAAATCTTTGACTTGAACGGGATGTACAACGCTCAAAATGATCGGGTATGGGCGATCAATCGTCAAGAAGCTGA